CTATGCAGTTCAGGCTGACCTTGAGCTTACTTTGTAGCCCAGGCTGCCCTCGAACTCGCAATGATCCTCCTGCCTCAGCCTCCAGAGTGCTGGGATTACAGGCATGCGCCACCACGCCCAGCTCCTTCTTATATTTATTTTGTGATGGGGTCTGGTTAAGTTGCCCAATGTGGCCTTGGACTTACAATACTGTCTCAGCCTCTCAAGTAGCTGGGATTACAGTCCCACACCACAGTACCCTGCTTAGAACATTTCCATCACTCCTGACTGAGAAGTTTTTACCACTTCACTTATTAGCAGTGCCCGCTAGCGGTCACTCTCCATTCCTCCCTCTCCTGGTACCTGGTGCCACTAATCTGTTTCTGTTGGATTTTTCAATTCTGGACATTTCATTGTAACAAAAGGATGTAATATATGCGTTTGTAGGTGATTGGTTTCTTTCACAGCATTATTCTTTAAGGCTTCTAATTTCAATGGAAACTTTCTCATTTCTAAAGGTTTTACTTTTTTTGGATAAACAAGGGGTCAGCTTAACACTGCCTTACTCCTTTTCATATATCTTAAACATATTAAACAGATTAATTTTGTATTCTATATTTTTTATATTCATTTTATATTTGATCTCTCTAATTTGGAGAGCTTATGCATGTTTAAATATGTGGCTTGTCCTTGTTTCTGCTGAGTGTGGCTTTGGTGGCTTGTTCCCTTGGGATACTTGCTAAGTTTTGATTTGGAGCTCATGTTTGATTCAGCTGAACCCATGGGAATCCCAGTCCCTAAGTTGGGTGTTGCTGACCTGGGCCACCTTGGTTCTCTCGGTAGGCTCAGTTTCTTGTGGGAGCTCAGGCACTGCCCACACACTTTAGGGTGGGTGTTGCAAATACTCCCCCAGATTCTCAACCATATGGATGTGCTGTGCTGTAGCTTTGCATGCCTGTGTCCCACCTCTGTGTGGAGGGAGGTTACTCTGCCTGCTGTGTGGGGTTGATGCATGGGAAGAGCTAGAAGCTGAACCTTGCGGAGCAGCCCTGAGAATTGTTATAAAATATTATAGCTCTTCATCCCTTGGGTGAGATCATCTCTGAGGCACATGTTGCACAACATTTTTTAGAATTCCTCTTGGGATGGGATCTAGTGGTGGTTTGCTCATACTATGCCTTTATTGGTCTAGACCATCTTCCCCACCCTAGACCACTTCCCTACTCCCTGCACCTGCTTCCTGATCTTCCAAATAAGTTTGCCCTAGAATCCTCGTCTCAGGCTCTGCTTCTGCAAAAAGCCATACCAAGATCCAGGATCTCAGACCCATTGTAGGTGTTAGCTCTGCCCAGGACACCTTTGACTTCCACATCTCCCTCCTACTCATCATGCAGGCTTTGGGGCTCTACTATCACATTTGCCTAATTATGAACTCAGAAATTTCTCTTACTTTCTTGGTGTTTTGAGGACTGTGTTTCAGCTGTGACCTAGTTCTTGCCCTCTGTACTTCATTAACTACAACTCAGAGTTCCAAGCATCACATCTTCGAAGTCTTCCTCACCCTAATGGAAACCAAAGTTCTCTTAATGTCTCCCTTTGCCTTCACTCCTCTGAAGCCACCCAGAGGAGGAGCGAGATGTACAGACAATGGAGCGCAATAGCCCTGAGAAGGGAGCGGAACCTCTCTGTGCGTGTTCTCGTCATCCCTAGGATGGAAATGATGGTAAAACCCTGCACAGCGGGGTTGTTGTGAGACTGGCCTGAGATAACATATGTTAAGTGTTTAGAACAGGTGGAACACATAGTATGTGTTCAATAAATGTCAGCTAAGCTTGTTACATCTTGCAAAGATGTATGTCTCATATAAGATTCAGGAGGCGGGAAACCTTCGCGTGTTTTTTCAGAGTGCTCCAGAGCACAGGGCAGCGCCAGGTCAAAAGTGGCACCTAGTATGGCCAGATGAACGAAGGCAGGTGAAAGAGGTCGGATGGCAGCTTGAGGCTTACCCGGTGGACTTGGCATAGGGACTTCAGGGAAGGTGAAAGAGGACACTGACACCTGGCCTGAAGCCCCAAGACCCATCAGGGTTGTTTTCTTCAGGTGTGAACGTGGCTGGCGACAGAAATCCCCGGGGCTTGTAGGTGTAGTCAGGAATGCTCTCAGGAGTAGGACTGCCTGGGACAATCGGAAGGGAGGATGATGGCTGGAGGGAGGCGTTCCAAGGTCGGGAGTCCAAGCGGGAGGGCATCGATGAACAGGGACCCGCACGGAGCTCCGCAGCCAGCCCTTCCCTCCCGCCCTCCCTCCCTGGGTCTTTGTGAGGCTCACCCCTTCCTCCTCCTCCCAGGAAACGTTCTTCAGAGAATTTCCAAGGAGACCTCAGCAAGGCGGAGAGGGTAGAGGTCCTGTCCACAGCGGTCAAGGGGAGGTGCGAGGTAGGGTGTGTGTGCAGGGGAGCGCTGGGAGGCGGCGGGAGCGCGAGCACGAGGGGGTGTGCGCGCAAGCGGGCAAGGGGCGCATCGAGGCCAGGGGTAGCGACCTGCGGGGCCATGAGCCCCCGGCACTCTCCAGCTCCGGCATCTCCTCGCTCGCCCCCGCCCCAGCTCGGCTCCGCCCCGCCCCTCGAGCGGGGTCCGCGTCTGCGGCTGCGTTCCCCGAAAGACGAGGCTGCGCCCGGGTTTTGGTCCGCAGGGAGACCGAAGGGCACTGCTCCCCGAGCCGCGCACACTGCCTGAGTCCGGAGTGCGGACACCCCAGGGATGTGAGTGCGCCCCTTGACCCCAAGGCCTGCACTCTGCGCCCCATCCGCGGCAAGCGCCGAGGCTCGCGCGCTGGGGGCACTCGGCGCGGGGTTCCCGGCCACCCAGCCCACGGGTGGGGGTGGGGATGGGGGCTGGAGGTAGGGGTGGGGATGGGGTTGGGGATACGGCACGCACCCTTCTCCCCGCAGCAGGTGCAGTTCTCTCCCTCCTTTTTCTCCTTCTCCTCCTCCTCCTCCTCCTCCTACCGTTCCTGTCTGGACTCACCTACAGCTTCCCAGGGAGGACGAGACATCCCCCAACCCCCACAGGTGCTGGGTGAGGGGTGGGGGCAGCCGGGCTGACAGCTCGCCGGAGAGGGCAGACCTTTTTCAACCGGTGGGGATGCTGTGATGGTGGACGCTCAGGGGGATGGGGTGGGGTGGGGCTCTGCCAGCTCCTGGCTGACCCGGTCTTCCAATTCTTAGGAGGAGGTCGTGTCCAGAGGCCAGAAAAGGGGAGGATCCTTGGGCTCTGCCGAGGACTGGGTCTCCTGATCAGCACTTCTCTCCACCAGGCCGGCCCCCCAGAGGACCCCTGCCCACAACCCCCGCGATTCCCCCAGGCTTGCTCGGAACATGCTGCCTCCAGCCATGAGGGCTCTCGGGTTGGTGATACTGACCCTGCTGCTGTGCCCCATGCCGGGTGAGTTGGAGGTTAAGGGGAAAGGACCTTGTGCTGGTGGGGCCATTCTCCCACTGTTTCATAAAGTCCAGCCTCTCCCGGACTCCTGTGACCCTAGCTCAGTCCTTGCCAACTCTGTCTGGCCATGGGGGTCTCTCTGAGCACCCGAGGTCATGACTGCCTTTCCTCAGGCTCATGGTCCAGTGTGGATGCCCCTTGCTCCACCCATGCCAAATGAGTGTTGGCCTGCCCTTTTTTTTTTTTTTTGGTTTTTCTCTGGTACCGGAACCGAACTCACAACCTTGCGCTTGCCAGGCAGGCGCTTTTGCCGCTGAGCTAAATCCCCAGCCCCTGGCCTGCCCTTCAAAGCTTGGAACCCTTCCATTCTAGGGGTGTGCCCAAGGTGCAAAGGAAAGTGCAGGGGTCAGCCTAGCCTGCTCCCCCTGTCTCCTATGGGCATGGTTCTGCCAGGATCCCTGCAGCAGGTAGGGACTGAGGGGATGCAGGGCCTGGCCAGTTCCTCTGGTCATCCCCATCCCATGCCCTGCCCAGCTCATGGCCTGTGGTGTCAGGACTGTACCCTGACCACCAACTCCAGCCAGTGTACCCCAAAGCGGTGCCAGCCAGCAGACACTGTGTGTGTCAGCGTCCGGATCACTGACCCCAGCAGCAGTAAGTTGGAGCCTGCATGGGTGGGGGTTGCTGAGAGACAGACTTGGGGGCTTCTCTGGGCCTCTAGGTCTGCCACAAGAGCATAGGTCTAGGGGCAGAATGCTGCCCAGCTTGTCCTTCCCTGGCTCCTTGGTGGCTTTTCCATGCAGTCCCAAGATTTGGTGGGTTGAGGGCCTCAGTTCTGGACCGAGAGGGGCCTGGGGACTGGGGAGGAGGAAGCACAGGCCTGGGTGGAGCTTCATTCCCCTTTCTCCCCCAGGCAGGAAGGATCATTCTGTGAACAAGATGTGTGCCCTCTCCTGTGAATTCATCAAGCGGCACTTTTTCTCAGAGTATCTGATGGGGTTCATTAACTCTGGGATCCTCAGAGTGGACGTGGAGTGCTGCGACAAGGACTTGTGTAATGGGGTGGCCGCAGAGGTGGGGCACAGCACCTGGGCCCTGGCTGCAGGGCTCCTGCTCAGCCTGGGGTCTGCCTTGCTCTGGGCCGAGCCTTGAGTCTTGGCCTCTGCAGGAGTTTGAAGCTTGTCCCTGAGCCTGACACTGCCCCTCCCTGCCTGGCTTGATGGAGGCCTGAGCGGAGTGGCCCAGCATTGGGGTCTGTGCTTCCCTAGAGGTGAGACCTCACTGCTTGTCCACCAGCACTGCATCCCAGGCAGCTGGGCTTCTCCAGGGTGTCCAGGCAGGAGGCCAGGGGTGAGGGCAGGGGGTTGGGGCCCCCAGGTCCCTAAGGGGATATGAGGCTGAGCCAGGTGCCGCCCAGTGGCTTGGCCCAAAGGGCATCTGTTTACCAAGAAATAAAATCACTTCTGAGTCCTGAGGCCCTGGGTCTGAGCCTGGGTGTGGATGTGGGCTTGGGTCCTGGTGGGGAGTGGAAGCTGAGAGAGCAGACATTGGAGGACAATGGAGACCACACTCTTCCTGCTGCAGGTACTGGTGGTGTGTGGGTGTGTTGAGGCGCATGGGTGAGAGTTGGGATGGACAGGACCACAGGGTGGACTTGAGGGGGGGGGAACGGGACGATGCACATGCAGATGGTAGAAGTGCACACAAGTATGGCAGCAGGCACACATGCACACAAACCCAGTTAGTGTTCACTGTTGTATGCTTACATCCAGGGATATCTGCGTAGACAGGCAATGAGGCATTTCCATCATACCACACGTGCTGGTATGTCCCCGTGCACACTCACTGTGGGACACTCAGCATCCAGTGCGCCGTGAACACTTACAACAGCTGTGTCTGGTCTACAGGGCTCTTGTTTCTACCCCTACTCCTCTTCAGCTACCCAGAGCCACAGGGCTGCTACAGCCTAGAGTGAAGCCTTCATGGACCAGATCCTGCTCCTTCGCTGGATATTGGGCCCTGTATCCTGGTTGGGGGTATCCTGGGGCCATTCCCTGGACCTAGACCTGAGGAGGCTGAGCCTGTGTGGGTGGCACAGTTGGGGAGGAATGGAGACCTTTCCAAGTAAACTGGGCTGCCCCCCTAATCCTTCTGTGCAGCTACGAGCCTCTGACTCTAGCCCTTTCTTCTGCACTGATGCTGCAGGATGGCTTGCCCTGTAGCCCTTGCTTGCTGTGAGGTGCTCAGTAGACATGCTTGGACTTCTCTGGGGTCTGGTCTTTGGCCAGTGTGTTCTGCTATCTGTGGCCGTCCAGACTTATGGTCACTGCTAGGTCCTGGACTCCTCAGAAAAGGAAATGGTTCCTGTTGGACCTGGTATTGGCATTGCTCTCGGAGGCTCTGCATGAGTGATCAAGGGAAATCAGGGTCTGGTGAGCAGGAAGGGTGGGGCAAGACCTCCAGTCCTCCCTGAAGCTGGAGCTGGCTCCTTGCTGTGGACATGGCCCAAGGGTTTTCCCTGGAGATTTATCTCCTTTTCTGCTGGGACTCTGCCCCATTTTTGTGCCATGGGCCCCTCCTCTGCCTTCCCCACCCGTGCCTGGTGTTTTGGGGACCTGAGGACCACAGCTAGAGTAAGGGAGAGAAGTTCAATAATTCAAAGGGAATTTGGGAGACTTGAGGCCGGAGGGAGGTTGAGGAGGACTGAGCCCAGCCTGGGCAACTTAAAGACCAGAGAGGCTCTGTCTCAAAATTAAAAGAAAATAAAGACAAAGGGGGCTGGGAACACAGCTCAGTGTCTTACATTTAATCCCCAGTAATTCAGAGGCCACAGGAAGCAGGTGTGGGGAGGTCCTGAACTATGGAAGCACCTGTGAGCAGAAGGAGGAAGACTCTCAGCTCCTGGGTGAGGGGTGAGCTCTGGGCCAGAGTTCACACACATCTTTGTATGCCCACTTTATTGTCTGAGAGAAGAAATTAAAAATAAAAAGGAAGGAACTTCCCCCCGTAACATTACAAGGGAGTGCCTCCTGCTCTTACCCTGGGAAACCTCTGAGGGAGAGCAGCAGGCACAGAGGGCTGGTCCCCACGCTGTAGCCCCACTTTCAAACCATTCTGCACATCTCTAGGAGAGTTTGAATTGGTTCTGTCTCAAAAGTGGTCACAGAAGGGTTTGCTTGGCCGGGCTCCACAGCTGTGAGATGGACTTTGTTTGCTGGGTGGCCCAGGCACAGAGTACTGCCACTTAGCTTCCGCTTAGCCCTTTCCACCACGCAGCTCGTGGCGGCCTCCAGCCAGGCTGGTTTTCTAGGTCGACCTTTTGTTTTTTGTCCCCCTGTATAACTTATGTAACCGTCCCTCATAAGTGGGCATAGTGGTTTTTAGTTTTTGCCATCAGCATTTCTGAAGGGATGCCCTTGTCCTCCCTTCTCTGTGGGCCAAGACGATCAGGTGAGCCTGAGAGAAAATCTGTCAAGGAAGTAGATCCTCTATCAAGGCAGTCTATATCCCACCAATTCCTTATACCCTGCCCAGTGGTGGGCACGATCCAGCTCCAGGAATTTGTGCCCATCTGGTGGAAGAAACTGATTCTGCTTGAGGCATTATTGGTGGGGCTGAGCGTCCTCTATGCTTGACAGCCACTGTGTTCTCCCTGTATACTCTCACCTGTGCCCTGCCCTGGCCCTGCCTTGTTCTTACTGTTGGGTGTGACCGACCCCTATTTATCTGAGCTCTTCCCAGGGTGTGTTTGGTGAACGCTTCCTTCAGTTCTGTGAGATTGGTTGCAGTAGAGTCTAATGGTTCTGGAACGACTTGGGGCTTCTTATCTTGGGAGACCTACCTCTGCCCTATGCTAATAGCCTCTGTATGTGCTTCTAGCATCTTTGCAGATTTGACTCCTGCATTCAGACATCAGTCCGTCTGTCTTTGTTTGTGATGTGGCTGGACAGAGAGACTTCTATGTGGCCACTTTTCTCGGTGCTGCTTGTTGTATAATCCCTCCTCTTCATGGATTCAAGATCCTCCCTTGATGACATAACACATTCCCATGTATTTCAAGATACTGTGATCTGCTACCATAGGGATTCCCTGGTCAGAGGTTACTGGTCACTGTGATGCTGTTTTGGTTTTGGTGGAGTCACAGCACCCCACAAATGGTAAAGCAGGTGCCCTTCCCAGACACCACCGCCACCTCTCCCTCTCACATGTTGCATGTGTCCAGGTGCCCTTCTGTTGGGATCCAGTGGAGTTCCCACTTCCTGGGTCTGAAGTGGGGAAGTGGATTCCTTCCTGGATGTGTCTCCACTCAGAGGTCTGTGGGTCTCTCAGTGCAGCTGTGTAGTCTCTACATGGGGTGGGCATCTTCTGTGGTAGTTATTGCTGGGTAAGTTATAGTTTTTGTGGTATTGTAAATTGGATTTCTCCCTTTCCTTTAAATTTAACTGGCCCTTTTTGATGAGGGAAGCAGATGTTTTTGACTTTTTTGTTGACATTCATTTCACAAGTGTCCCACCCCATGCAAGGAGGTGGACAAGGGCTGCTTGTTGTCTTAGGGGGCCAATTGGCAGAGCAGACAGCCTCAGGTCTACATGTCCAAAAGCCTACATGCCCCCCAAAGTGATGGAGACAGGCAGGAGCTGAGGAGGGGCCTCTCAGCTATTTCATGATAAGGAGGGGGGAGAGGTTTATCTTAAACTAGGAGGAATAGCCTTGAAGCCCCTCTGCTCAAGGCTGGTCCAGAGAGGAGTCTGGATTCCATTCAAGAGCTGAGGCCTCAAGGAGGTGACAGTGGTGGGGAACACAGGTAACCTCATGCTCTGAAGATTGGGCTGTGGCCCAATGAGGAACAGGGATTGACTCACAAATGAGGTGAAGACTACCTTCGCAGCAGCCTATGTGTGTTGGTTGAGCAGAACATAGGGACAAGATCTATTCTAAGAAATATCTGAGTACATAGTTGTCTGCCAGTCCCCCGCCCCCAGGTGGACTTGCCCTGGGAAAGAAGATGGGAAAGTTGTACTAAGATGTCAACCTTCTACTGCCTTGGTGAATGGATGAGCCTAGAAGTACAGAAGTAGGAGTTTTCTCATTCAATCCAGCGGGGATTCTGTGCACACTATCCTTTCTGGGGTGGACCCCAGAGTCTGCCTGAGTGAGGTTATGCAGAAGGCTTAATACGACACTTCTAATTTTGCGGTGAGGAGGCTCAAGGTAGGTGCTGAGCTGGCCTGGCTGGCTGCATGGCTCCTGCCTGTGGGCTAGCAGCTACAGGTTATCTATTCCAAAGCCACACGTGGTCCAAAGTCCTATTGCTACACCCTTGTGCTGGAGACTGCAAGATAAAAATTTCAAATTTTATAAGGCTGAAGTGGGATTCACAACATAGGAACTATCCAAAATGTGCAGGGAGTGTTTGGAAGATTTGAGGCAGCTATAAATAACACTGCAACTGGAAGAAAGGAAGGCTACTTATTTTTGAGTACATATATTTCTACATATATTTTAAAATTCCATTACTTGCTGCATCTCTTAGATTTTCACAGTATACAACGTATCCTCCATGGATGAAGATGATCTGGTCTCTTCTCTGCTATTTCTGTTGCGTGGTCAGGGTTTGTGGACTGTGCTAGCTACACCCTCTGCAAAATGTTCCTGAAGGACAGTGGCCCAGGGCGTCTGCACACAGAATACCTCACATATTGTCAACAGGGCTTGTTGCTGCGCTTGAACGTACTTTATTCAACTTAGACTCTCTGTTTATTCATATTTCAATTAGATTTTTAAAATTAGGAATGGATAGTAAATTTAAAAGAAATGCCCTTTCATGATATGGTGATAGAACCATGTATTTTCCCCACTTAATGAATAGCCGATACAGCAAAATTTCATTATTAGGTTTCCTAACAATGAGCCACTTTGGCTTGTGACATGTGATTCTTTTAAGCCACTGCTATATTTAAACAGTGGTGTTTGGCTAAGACGTTTGTGTCCTGAGACTTTGGCATCATCTTCAGACAGATTTGACCGTCATTCTCTTTTGGCGTCCTCCTCAGAGGGGCGTCACATTGTGGGCAGCCTTTCCAGACCAAGGTGGCTTCTGCTTCCCATGCTCCACAGAAGCACAGTCTGGTTGCATGCATCTTTCTACTCTCTTCTTGCCTACTGGGAGCTGGGACCTGTCCATAGTGCTAGGGTTCCTGGCTGTTGGGGCATCTTCTCAAATTCCAACTGGTGTCAGGATGCCCACAATGCTCTCTGCACCCAGAAATCTTGACTTAAAGTGTTCTGTGTTGGCTCCAGAAATCTGTACCGTCCATACCCCATAAGCAAAAGTATCACCATCAGAAGAGATATGAAGAGCAGGCTGACAATATTATAGTTATATTCTTTTATTACTTTTCAGGAGCTAAGTGCTGGGCTCTAGGGCCTGGGGACAGAACAGTGGACAGGCAGAAGGGGTGGGCCCTCTAGTGAG